CTATTGGATCTGTATTAGCTTCACTATCTATATACACATACTCCTAATTATATACACATATATTTAACTATATACACATACATCTATTTATGTGTAATTTGAAAATTTTTTTCTTTCCCTGTATTCCATTACCATAATAACTTATATCATTTTTTGAACCCAATTGTATTCCTATTGTTGGGTATTTTTTTTGCCATTTCCTAACCCCTCCTGTAAATACAAGGATATATAAGACGTCCTTGTTGAAAATTTCGAGTAAATTTAGACGTCCTTATTGAACATATCGACTAATTCATAAATCACATCATCTCATATTTAAGCAAAGATATAAAAATGTTTGATTTTGAATCAAAAAATAACCCCATACGTCCCGAAACGATTGATGAGGAATTCATAAACGAATCAACAGAAGGTAATCCAACTTCTGATAATATCGGAATCGACAAAAAACGTCGACAATCCATTACTCCTCTTTCCCATGAATCTAGACAAGTTGAAGCAAAAAAGGTCTCTCGCTATGTTTTGAATAACAGTGATGAATTCGATTCATTTATTCTTAATAATTTTAAGCCGTTCTCAGGATCAGAAGAGGTAACCGATTGGTTAGGTAACACCGATAAAAAGTTTAATTTACATAAAATTCCACGTAAACTTCGCTACATTGCTATACCTTTACTTATTGAAGGAGATGCTAAAATTAAATATATTCTAAATAGAAATAACATAAAATCATTCGACGATTTTCTTGAATTTCTTTTGACTACTTATGATGTACCGGAACATAATATTGCACATAATTCAATAACACATTAAACTATACCCTTTGAAGATCAACAAAAGAATACCACGAATAATTTTGATCTAACAGATAATTTACCACCATGTCCTATATTAAGATCAACTCCAATTGTTGATATGGGTGCCACCAGACTAACTGGGGACGTAATCGAAAATCGATCAACCATTTCACCACCTTCTAACATCTCTTACCATACTTCTAATCTCGATAAAACTTCATCAACACCTGCTGTGTCATCGAATTTACTCTTGCAGCCTCCAGTTCTACTGGAAGGTAGCCGTTCTTGGAGTAAAAGAGATGTCCATCTTTTTTCATCCGTATCAATTACATTTATTCATACTCAACAATCCATACATCAACCCAATACTTCATCAGGCTCACTTTTACAGCCTTCAGTTTTACTGAAAGGCAACAGTTTCGAAAGTGAACGAGCTATTATTAATAATTCATATTATTCATACAACCAACCACAATCTAATCCTCATCAACTTTTTCTAAATCTTAGTGAGGAAACAGGTCGAAATCACTTAGTAGAAGGTACCGAAGATGTAAAGCAATTGCTCAAGGGTTGTGAGCAGCATAGTAACCAATTAGGTAATCAATCATCATCAAGATCTTCCCAAGATAATCGATCGCATTACTATGCAAACAATATTACTTCTACGAATATAACAATCTTATTTGATTCAAAACCTCCATATCTCTTTTCTAAATATTGACCGGAGTCATCGAACGATGGTGCTGCCTCCGGAGACAAATCAAAAGTCCATCAAAATAGACTTCTTTTTCCGCTTTTTCATTCGTTGTATTTTTCTGTGTGTCTTTTCTTCTGTTTTGTTATTGTAAAATGTAACTATGTAATTCTTCCTATAAAGTTCTATCGTCTAAACTCTGTCCCTCGTTTCTTTTCCTTGGCTTAAAGTGCTGCAGATCCATGCCGACATAATTTGCAGGCGGGAGAAATTAACTGTTCACTTTTTCAAAAAGGTAAAAGATAATAATATAAAGACTTTTCTTTTCTTTTCTTGTTTCTTTATCCTATGCGCCATCTCCATTTATATATCCTTCTCCTGTACTTTTTCCTCCGGTTAACGTGTTTTCTGTCCATGCCGACAAAATTTGCAGGCAGGAGAATTCGGGAATTCACATTTTCGCAAGGTAAAGGTCAAAGTATATAAAACTTCTTTCCTTTTTGAATTGTCCTAAGTTGTACTCCTTTATTTCTTTCTCATCTCT